TGCGCCACAACTACTGAGCCTGTGCTCTAGAGCCCGTGAGCCACAACTACTGAAGCCCTCACGCCTAGAACCCGTGCTCTGCAACAAGAGAAGCCACTGCAATGAGAAGCCCTAGCACTGCAACGAAGAGCAGCCTCCGCTCACCGCAACTAGAGAAAGCCCACACGCAGCAACGAAGACCCAACACAGCCAAAAATAAATAAACAAATATATATATATATATATATATATATATATATAAAGACCAGTGGTACTGCGTCCTTTGATGTCAGGGCACGCACACTGACCAAATGTTTTTCATCAGGCATCCAGCCCAGGCAAAGCTGAGCCCTGTGTCTCTAAGACCAAAACCAGTGCTTTCCTCTGTGATGCTGAAGCAGATCCCAAAGATCAACTCTCCAGTTTTGACGACTAAGTAACCTATATTAGTCTAAAGGGCTAGATCAAATCCCAAAAGTCCAAATCTTCACCACTTTCCAACTATTCATCACATTTTCTCTCCAGAAATCTGAAAAATGTCTATCAACAAAACAAAAAACAAACTTACTTATTAAAACAAATCTAACTGCCTTAACTTCAGGATTAGATGTTTCCTGACAACAGGGCTCTTATAAAAGCACTCAAAGTTCTGTTATCATCTAATTTCAATTTCTATACAGCTCTTTATATGTGTGCTTAGAAGCCAAAAAGTGAATCTTCACTTACTTTTGCCCCAACCACTAAAGCAAGTAGAAACAGGACAACCTTCCACAAAGAATTTTTTTTAAAAAGATGCTGGAATCCTGTTATTTGGTGTTCTCTCACAGTTCCAAGCAAGGTGAGAGGAGCCATGCAAAACACAGTTTTAAAGTCTCGGCCATCCCGAGACTTTCTTACTATATAAAGGGGAAATTAATAAAAGAAGAAAAAGAGAAATAATACACTGCATTTTCTTTCCCTACCATAATTTTTCAATTTTCTTTAGAGAAATGCCAGCCAATAACTAATTAGAACCATATCCTTTGTTATCCCAGTGGGAAGTATACCAATGCATTTAAGAACAAATGTTAATGAGAACTTAAAAAAATTAGTAATCTGGAACTTTGGTTTCCCTTCAGTGTAAAAACAAAATTCTCTCCTTTAATGCTATTTTTATAGTTGGTGAAACAACATGGACAGAATCCATCAACAAGAAGCTAAGCTGTCTAGCCAGTGAGCACCCTGAATCGCGGGTGCCCTGGGTTTTTCACTGTTGTTATCACAGAATTGGCATCCCAAGATCACAGATTTCTAAGCACACCAATTTCAAATAAGAGAGACAAAAACTCAAAGTTACAGAAAAAGGAATTTGTTTTACATCTCTTTGGTTTCAAGGGGGAAAATAATTTCTTCCAAAGTGAGTACATAGCTGTTGTAATTTCCAAGTGTATATTTTCCATAAGAAACACAGCTGGAGTCCTTTTACCTGGTATATCACCACAAATAAGAATATTTCTAGGATCAAATCTTGAGTTGCCTATTCATGAACATCAAGGAGCAGAAACTACCTCCTTGAAAACTGGACTTGTTTTATTTTTTTAATAAACTTATTTACTTTATTTATTTTTGGCTGCATTGGGTCTTCCTTGCTGTGTGTGGGCTTTCTCTAGTTGTGGCGAGCGGGAGCTACTCTTCTTTGAGGTACGCGGGCTTCTCAATGCGGTGGCTTTTCTTGCAGAGCACGGACTCTAGGCGCGCAGGCTTCAGTAGTTGTGGCTCTAGGGCTCTAGAGCGCAGGCTCAGTAGTTGTGGCACATGGGCTCCTCGGCATGTGGGATCTTCCCCCCACCAGGGCTTGAACCCGGGTTCCCTGAACTGGCAGGCGGATTCTTAACCACTGCGCCACCAGGGAAGCCCTGGACTTGTTTTAGACAACAAAGTGAACTACAGAATGTGAGTCAGAAAAGCTCTGAGCAAAAATAAATTTTTAATATGCCAACACACCATGGTTTGGGCACGGGCCAGCAATCTGAACTGTATTTTCAAATGAGGTTCTGCCCTGTGTCATCCAGACTCATCCTGGTGGAATTAGCAAGTCCAGGCTGGAGCCACAGACCACTTTTTTCTTCATGTAAAAGGACTGGCCAGAGCGCACTGAACTAGGCACGGCCTATGTCATATCAGATATTCTCCTTTTTGGAAAAAAAGCTTTAAGCATTTGCAAAACATCTCAATTTGCCCCATACTTTTACTATCCAGCAAATTTATTTCCCCCACTTGTGGAGGAAAACACAACAATAGGTCTTAGGTCTGTAACATTTTACCATCACTGTGTATATGCAAAAGCTAGAATTAATTTGTATTGCCCAATAAGGACATTATTTTACATGGACTTTGGTCTACAGCAGAAAATGGACATAACAATGAAAATATTTCTTGATAAATCACTTTCTGGACATTACTCCTCCCCAAAACGAACATAAAAACCACCACCAAGGAAAACAAAGGATTCCCATGTTTTAAAGCAAAAAAGGACTGGCTATTCATATTCAGGCACCACATAAATCAAATATGGGCAAGATCACCTAAAAAGTGTTTAAAACGCCAAGTTTTGCCTCTGTGTGGTTAGTGAGCCCACGTTTCTCCAATGTTAAGTTTACAAACTGTATTTGTTAAACTGTATTTCATACTTTAAATACCAAGTCTGTACCTTACACTGCTTCCATGGATGATTTACTCGAGACATATGGGGTCACAGTCTAAGCCTTTTACTCTACTAAGTTTAAATCATGCTTCTCAACAAGATTCTGTACACATTTAAGCAGCACATGGCAGCCCTAAACGCCCCCAGAAGAGCCCTTCTCCTGTCCACTCCATAAAATGAGAGTTTCCTCCGGAAAGGAAGGGCCTGGATTCACACGTTGCATCAGGCATACTAATTAAGCAAAAGCGCTCCAAAACTTTTTCTGTTTCGATTCATGGCAAAATTTCCTGAATTCGTTTTATTAAAACAGACTTCTTCATCCAACAGACACACTCAAAAATCCAAGCTAATTTCAGCAGCAAACGGCGGGGCGGGGGGGGC